ACAAGTGCTGTGGTGACAGCAGTGTACAGCACTGCCCTTGCTGTTTGAAAAATGCCACAGATGAGAGTGGGTGTGATGATATTCCCTGCTGCGATTGCCTGATGCAGCCCCATTTGGTAGCACGCGTACTGCAACAACTACGATGCTATTCAGATGTGGTTACCAGCAATTTGGCACAGTTGCAGAATGAGCACCTTCTGTTTACTGGCCACCTTCTGCCGATGGCTTGTTGTTGACCCAGTTTGTGCCTGCTACTGTTAGGTCACGTCACTTTTTCTACACTACGAGCCCATGATCGTGTCTTGGACCCTGCGATGGTACCCTGATTGTGAACTTCTGGGGAATTGCACCACAGATGGAAGGTGCGCTGCGCCTTTCTGCTGTGGAAAACACTCAATAGCGTACATCGATGGTGTGAATAAATCAGGAATTGTACTGAGCTATTGGGAATCTAAATCAAGGCTTAGACTGATAATTTGTCACCTTCTGGCAGGCTGGGACTGCGGCCAATCGATCTGCGCGATGCAGCAGGAGTTAGCTATGCATATCCTGTGGTTTGTGCGCTGGACGTGCTTCAAAATGTACCACATGATTGTGCTGTTCCGGAGTGCATCAGGAAACGTGGAACTCGTTGGAAAATATTGGCACATAATGTGCCACACTGACTGCAGACTGCGCTGGATTGAGCCGGATTGCGTCAGTGTATTGGAGGCTGCATTGGACGAACCGCAAGAAGTTTTTTGTTTTTTGTGAACAGAATTGCATCGGAACAGGCAACAGCCGCTGAGCTGCTGCTGTACCCCATACCTTTTTACCTCTTGTGGGCCACGATTTACTATTTGAAGATCTTTGTCTTCTCTGAGAAGAAGATTCAGGAGCGGGGATATTCAACGCTGTTCAAATACATGACATCAAACAAGAAGAGCGGCTTTGCCAAATTCGTCCTGAGGTAACCTTGCAGTCCTGTACATTAGCTGTTTGTACAGTTTCAGAGATAGGTGAAAGGAATAGCCGTTGTCAAACGAATGGTGTATGGCATCACATGCGAGGAGCAATGACTGTGATTTGTCAACTCATGGCGGTTGCAGTCAAATGAATTGTTCATCAGTTGGCAATGCCAGCCTCTATCTATAGACACGGGGTCTGTCAGCGAGTGCAGGACTGAGCGGTGGATATCCGCCTTCCAGGCACTGTCTGGTGCCGAGCCGTCTGGATGGACGTGCAGCTTCTTTCAGCGCCAATCTGCAATCTTGGCAGCACTGCGCAACAAGGACGGTACAGCTATTGTTTTGCAACAACTTGACATGGACTAATTGCATAAATATCAAGCACCAAAGCATTCGCATCGTCGTCGTATCCGCATTCGTATCTCTCATCGACGTTGAGCAAGGTGATAAGGAGAGAGGATGGCTGCTCACTGTTCCCTTCTGATCAAAGCAATTGAGTTCACAGTCAGTTGAGATACCCGGTTCTGGAAAGTTGATTGCAATCGCACAATCTGGTTCTCTTTCAGAGCATTGCACATCCCTCACACGATTAAGCGGAATTTTGCAAGTCCTAGCCGCTGAACGACATCGTGCAAAATAATAATTAAAGAATATGTCGCCTGCATCAGTCAAATTTGCAGGTGAGAGCAGCGAGTTCGTGTTCTCCACAGGTTTCCGCATAGATGGCAGCCTGTCGTCTTCCTTGGCTTCCACCTGACCTTTTTCATGACCGCCCTGGTTTTCGTTTTCTTCTGCTGGCGGTCGTACTGGGCGCACACCGCGCTCATCAGCTGCCTCTCCTTCGTGTCCGTTTGGAACGGCGCCAATTTCTACTTCGAGGTGTTTGCCACCAAGTACATGAAGACAGTCGAGACTAGAGTCGCGGAAAAGAAGCAAGACTGAAATTTGCCGCATTCTGTGGCCAGCTTCGGTCCAAACATTGGCCATGGAGTCGCTTTTGTGCGTTCAAAGCCAACTCTCGTCTTCTTCTCCTTTGTAGTTCGTTTTCCTTCACCGTTTTTCGGAGTTGTGTGCAATGGTGGGAGGGGAAATATGTGTCATGGAACATGGCACCCTTGGGGCACCCCGCCTGGCCGTCGAATCTTGCGCATGGGCGGTGTTGTGTGGTCCATTGATTGTGGGTGGTTGAATTCCATTGTAGCTCCTTATTGCGCTGTCACTGCCATTGACATGCTTTCCTCCCACGGTTCTGATGGAGGTGATGGGGGATGGTGGGTCAACGGCACGTTGAATGCATAGCGCTCTCCCTGGGGGTGGCCCTGGAGTGCGTTTTTGACTATGATTCCGCTACTTCGTAACTGGAGGTGGCCGGAATTATTGTGCGTACTATGGGGGATTGGAGTGTTGCCTTTGTACAAAAGTGCATGTACAACAAGGGGCAGCGTCCCACCCTTCTGTCCACTCGTGGTGGCACACCATTAGCTGATCTGTGACGCCTCCGTCGTCGCCTGCGTGTCTAGATGGCGTTTTGATCGGAGTGTGCGCTTCTAAAAGGTCTGTTAAAAGTGAGATAGCGACAGGGCGAAAACAGAACGAGGTTTGGATGCGCCTTCCAAGGAATTTGGAATGGTGTGCGTCTATTAATTCCATGTTTGGAGCCTGTTGAACAAGCAGACGATCTGCAAGGAAACGAAAATGACGCTGCCTGTTCGGTACTCCATGTGGCTAACAAACTCACGCTCTGCGATGCACCGCAGAGTGTGAACCATCGTTCCTGAACGATGGTTATGTGGTAAATATGCTACCATGTGAGGGCTCTCTGGAATGAAGGCACGGCAAGGGCTGTGCAAATCATCATTACTAGGAAAGTGCTGTGGGGGCTTGGCGGGCGCTAAAAGGCCGCTCGGTCTCCGACTGACCAAACCATGCAAAGGGGATAGCATGCCATTGCACGCGGAAGGTTTTGGGTGCATCTTGCGCTCCTGGACAGAAATGCGGTAGCTGTGGACCATGGCAGAGTGCTCATCTGCAGCCAGTCTAGAAGTGAGGGCGACGACAATGCTATCCATCCATCGTGGCACTACCTGATGTTTCGTTCGCTTGTCTGAATTTGGGCCTTGAGTACGCCATCGAGGCTAGGCCGTCGCCGTTGTTGTGCTGACTCATCCGGGTGCCAATTGAGCCTTGCGGGTGAAGCATGAAGCAAGTAGAGGACAGGCGAGTTTGGGCGCTTGCGGGCAATGGCTGGGCAGCTGTTCGCAAGGACAGCAAATCATCTGGAGAGGACATGCTCTGGGTAGAACCCCTCTCCTGCGTGGAGCATGGCATGCAGCAAACCCTGGAACATTATCTCCATGTGCAATGGTATGCGTGGTGGTCCGTAAACAGACATGGACGTTGTGATGTATTGGCCTGCATGAGGCGCGACGCATGTTGTGCTTGTCATTTGTGCATGGAGCTCTGCATTTGCTAGCCGAACCATTGGCGAAAAGCACCATCACCGCCGGTGAAGGCGCAATGTCAGTGTCAAGCCCCGCGGCGAGCGGTGCAGTGCCCAAGATCAACTTTCGTGCGGAGCACGCTAGAGGGGGTTCCCCTCCGCTTAGCCTCAGTCAGGCTTGGTTTTTACACCGTAAAAACTGATCGTATTTACGTTTTTATGCGTAAAAATAGTTTTTACGTTTTTACGCGTAGAAATGCGTAAAAATACGTAAATACAACGTAAAAACTGCCTGGTGTACATAAGGACAGTACATACAGATTTACAGAGTCCAGAGAGTGGCAGCCAGACCCCTTGGAAGAGGCAGAAGATGAGTTTTTGTTAAACGCCATTATCGCCATTGCCAAGGGCGAGGTGGACATTTTGTTACGGGTGCTGGAGATGGCGGAGGACTGATCATTGTACGCAACTTTTATCGTGTAATCTACGTGTGCCAGGGAGCCGTGAAAACGTAAAAATGGTCGTAAAAATAGGGCCTTTTGAGGATTTACGTTTTTATGCGGTAAAACGTAAATGTAAATGTAAAAACCAAGCCTGGCCTCAGTCCTTATTGTGATGCCCTGGGAATACTCAAGGGCAGTGCATGGTACTGAGCGACAGCGCTGCGCAAGTTCTGGCGCTCGTTGGCTGGGCTATCACAGTAATTCTGGATGGTTTGAACATATGGTCTGTGTAGCACAGAGTGTTCTAACGTCAGAATGGTGTCCTCACCACTTGCGGCGATGTGCTTCAAAGGGATGCTCCTCCGCCATGCGCTTTTGTGGGCCCTAAGGGAGATGCTTTCCTAAACCGTCTCTTTCAGGAAGGTCGCCATCAGAAAACATCGGATGTGGGGATGGTCCACGGATGGGCAACGTCGACCCCATTCTGGCGGGCTTCGGCACAATCTATATGGGTCAAACGCAATGTGCACGTCTGTGAAACCATTGCCGAAACCATTCTATCATCCCAAGTCTGGATTACAAACGACACAGCATGCAAGCACACATGCCCTGGAGTCATCCGTCCGCAATGTAGCGGTGGTCCAGCTCAGATTTCGGAAAGTTCCAGCGCTGAGCCTTCAACAGCCGCGCTGATCCATTGGATTAACATTGGCAACGTCAAGCTCCGGTAGGCGTACTGATGGGATCCTCGTCTGTGCACAACTTGCATGTTTTCCCATTCCTAATGGCGCTGTTCACAAAGTGAAGGCTCGCGAAAATCAGTTCCTGCATGCTGGCCAGGCTGCACGATCGTCATTGTCGTCATTGTTCCCCTTCATATAATCTATTCGCCCCGCCTGACAGCCTGGCGTGCCAGAAATCCAGAATGGTGCGCACTCCCCAGGGGCTCAGCGCAACAACACTCGGCTCGTACTCAGGTCCAGGCCCTTACCGCCGCGCTGCTTTTCGAGGCCGGTGGGTGGCCGGGGCCGAACAGCGCGGTTGGCTCCTGCCCGTTGAATCGCGCTGCCTGGGGCGAGATCCGTCGGCGGATGGCTTGCCAAATCCTCTCCATCCAATCTTGCCACGTCGCGTGACTCGGGATCACTGAACCAGGGGGGCTGTGGAGCGATGGTGCCCGATGTGCAGGGCTCTTCGCGGGCGCCCAGCATTTCGGAAGACACTCTTGTGGACGCGTTGATCGCATGCTGCAGGGAGGTGAGGTTTGGCACAAATCCGCAGCCAGGTAGTGGACATGGAAATCAGGCTTGGAAATCTGTTTTTCATTGCATGTGCCTGTTCAGGACGGGCGTTGCCCTTGCGGGCCTACAAGCCGTGACGGTTGCTTGTGCGTGTTTGTTCCCCAATGGCTTGCGGTGCACACATTCATAAGCGTACACAATCGTATGCGTTTGCAGTACTCTCACTCTGTTGCATGGTTGCTCAGAATTCATCCTCTTGCGTGCTTGTGAGCCATGAAGAAAAAGGATATGTCGGCTCTCTCCAGTGGCTAAGCCCACTCTGCTGTGATTGGAACCTGGTTCTGATTCAGCATCAGTCCTGAGTGGGGGCATTTGACACGACATTTTTGTTTCGTTACACTTTCACATAGTGCATGAGAGGTGTCCAAACAATTTTCCGTGAGAGCCATTGAGGTATGGCCATATTCGAGTTCCATTGTTCTCAGGACATCGAGAAGATCGCCTTGGCTGAGGCCACAGACCAGCACTGCCCCCTGCAGCTCGATGTCCTTTGCCTTGCCAATGAGAACCCCCTGGTGGCGGAAGCGCTTGTAAAATCCCCAAACACCATGCTCCAACGTCTCGATGATGCTGCGATCAAAGCTCAAGAGCGAATATTGAAGTCACACAGAGAGAGCGAGCAGCGCCAAGCAAAGGACACAGTGCACATCCGAGTGCACAGCCTCCCATATGCGCTGGATCCCTCATGTGAATCACTGAACCCAGGTGTTGGGCATATACTGTGCCACCATGTTGGGCGGCTGCTGTCATTCACTGGGACTGTTGTCAGAACTGGGGTGGTGAAGATCTTTGAGAGCCAGAGGCTGTATGAATGCAGCAAGTGCAGGCACAGGTGAAGGCATGTTTTTGAGATCTCTATTAATCCACTTTGACAATTTGTGGCACAGCTCTCCTTTGCACTTCTGTAGGCAGTTGTCCATAGTTTTCGCTGTGAGCAGCCCAATCAGAAGCAATGGGAGTTTTGAGAATGTGGAGGTCCAATCTTTTGGATACATCTCCAAAGCGATTCCGAAACACTGCCTTGCGAATCAGGGTAGGCGTTGATAGGCATTTATGTTGCGTTCATGCCACTTGGGATAGAAAGTGTTTCTCTATCGGCAGAGGGTACATGCTTGGATTTTGTCAGTGAAGAAATTTTGAGGAAGCTGTTATCTAACATTCTGCAAGCACAATTGCTAGTTGTGCCCTCCATGAGGCAGCCATGATTGTGCTCTTTTCAATGCACTTGGCAACGAGTGCCCTTGTCCTTGGATGCTGTGGGGCTGTGGTGTCTAGCTCCAGGTCGTTATGTGTTTGAACACTGCTGACACTGTCTCTATCCTTGCTCCACGGTTACATCTTACATAGCCACCTTGTCGCAGCAAACAGCTTGTCAAGATGTCTGATTCGTGTGCTGGCAGGTTTGTTGTCGATGCACAAATTGAGCTGGGTGGCTTTGTGGAGTTGCCTCTTGTGTGCCCCTCTCAACGCGACCGGCCTTGTGGGTGCAGCACCTTCAAGCACCTTGAGGAAGTGCAGGTCTTGACAAACTACCAGGAGGTGCGTGTGCAGGAGAAGATGCACTGCCTGGCGATGGGCACCCTTCCAAGGTCCACCATTGTTGTGTTGCGGGATGACCTCGCAGACATCTGTTGTACTGGAGGTGTGGAACACATTCTAACTTTCAGTCACTCGTGTTGAAATTAATGTGCTTGTGAATGGGCAGTTTTTGATACACTTCTTTCAGCTCTGCTCCTGTATCCAAGTTTAGCTCAGTCATGTCAGAGTTTTGCTCACTATCACTGCAATGGAGTGGAGCGCTGTGTTGGTTCGCCATGGACACCCTGCCAATGGCCACCATCGTTGTGCTCGAAAACAACCCCAGAACGATTTGTTGAATGGAAGTGATTGAATGCAGGCATCGTGCAGAAAGTGTGGAGGAACACAATGTCATGTTACAGACCTCTGCATCAAGACGTATCCATCCCAAACAATACGGTCCATGCCGAGTTTTGACCCCAATGTCCATGACAGCATCGAGTTGTTAATACATGCGAGCTAAGAAAACATCCGCATTCCATTTCGTTCTTGAAACTCACCAATTTGCATCTGTAAAACATGATATCTCTTTCAATGCCATTTGGAATATGGTTGTATCCACATAGGTCCCAAGGGCATGAAATTCTGCACTGGCACTGCGCTGGCACTGTGCTGCACATCATCCTTGCACTTGATTGGCGTACCAGATGTATATGTGTGGACATTTCCCGACTTTTGTGTTTTCGAACGGTGCACCACTTGACTGGGAAATCATGGGCAGACACTGTTGGCGTGGAATTCGGTGTAGCTTTTGGCATTCGCCCTCTCCTCTGTGGATGAGACGTTTTGATCCCTTTACATGATAGCCTTTGTTCCCACTCGTCCCAGTTGCATGAGCTCCTGCTCTTAACGCTTATTTGCCAGCATGTGACAAAACTGGTGGCTTTGTGCCCTCAAGGCAGTGACAGACACTGGGATACTCGGTTTTCCCTAATCCAACAAGCCAGTTTCGTTTTCTTCCCACCATGTGTGGGATTGCTGTCATAATGTGATGCCATGTTGTTAAACAGGCAGCTCAGTTGATGGAGACCTTCAGCAGCTGTACGGTCAAAGTATCAGGTGTTGGAGTCTTGATAGATTGAGATTGATGGCCAGGAGCAAGTTCCTTGGCTGCCCATCTTTCAGTATGTGTGTACGGCTTTGCTTTGTGTTCATGCATTGTCCAGCCACAGCGTGATACGCTTCCTTATCCCCAGTTTGGCTCCTTGCACGGAGTGACACTTGGTTGCTGGCTCCACTTGGCGACAATGCTTGTCTTGCTCATCAGAGAAGCAGCCACCACTGTCTTTGCAATTATGCACTGAGCACTTGTACCAACAAATACGAGTGCAGTTATATGTGCATTGTGTGCGTTTGTCCAAAGATGACAAGCCACTTTCATCGGAAACAGGGAATGCTAGGTGCTCTTCACGTCCACAAGTTTCTATTCTGAAGGTCATTGGTTCCTATTCCTGCTAACATATCCTTGACTGTAAGTGTGGCAATGCAAGGCGCTGAACCCATTGATCTCATAAAGGGGAATGCAGCAGAGCTTGAGTTGTTCAAGTTCTCCATTAATATTGTTTATTGCTGAATCGTGACATTGCGATGTCTAGGCATTAATTGGGCAAGCCAGGCACTGTCAAACTTCACAAGAGTGTTTCATAGCAATTCTAAGCTCCTTTTGATGGTTCATTGACATGCCAGATGATGTCGAGGTGACTGCAGTCATCACGCAAAGGTGGCGCCACGAGCGGCCTGGGGAACGCTGCGATGTAGAAATCATTGCTCTTGCCAACAACGTCCGCCTTTTGAATGCTCACAAGAGTGGCCTCATCTTGGAGCCCAGCATGGACCACAAGTTCCGCGAATTCTGGAAGGCACATGAGGGACGGCCCTTGGCTGGCCGGAACATGATCCTGGCATCCATCTGCCCCCAGATCCATGGGCTGTTCATGGCCAAACTGGCTCTTGTGCTGATGCTCATCGGTGGCCTACAGCACACTGACGACAGCGGCATGAATACCCGGGGGACGGTGCACATGCTGCTCATCGGAGACCCAGGCACAGGTGTGCACAATTTCTGTAATTGCTTTTGCTGGCTTGGACGAACCTTCTCAATGCATTTGGACGTTGGTGACTGTCATGGTATTGCAGCTCACTGGTTAACAAGGTATAACCAGTAAAGGTTAACTGGTATTGACAGTATTCCTAAAAGTTTGCTCCATCCTATGTCTTTCACACTTGCAGGGAAATCGCAGCTCATGAAGTATGCAGCACGGCTGAGCCCCCGTTCAGTTATCACATCTGGCAAGGGGGCCAGCGGGGCGGGCCTCACAGCAACAGCTGTCAAGGATGGCGGCAGCTGGTGCCTGGAAGCGGGGGCCATGGTGCTGGCAGACGGTGGCCTCTGCTGTATCGATGAGTTCAATGGCATCAAGGACGCAGATCGGGGAATGATCCATGAGGCCATGGAGCAGCAGACAGTGAGCATCGCCAAGGTACAGAGTCCTCATTTTTGCTGCTGAATGTGTCTGCACTGGTAAACGGCACACAGCAACCACTTGCATTTTGCTAAGGATAGCTTCCAACACAAACTTGTTTGTGCCCTGTACAAACATGGATCCACACACTGGTCTCAGCATTGATGGTGTTGAAATAATCTACTAATCAACATTCCTTATTGGCTCGTCAACAGCAAAGGTAATGGCGCCTGCAGTGGTGTGGAGTGGAGAGCAACTTGCTTGCAACTTGAAAGAGTGTTGCCCCTGGCTGTGATACAGATTGAAATATTACAAATCGCTGCCCTGGCATAAATGCAAAGCGGCGTGGGCCATTGTCGGGCCGTTGTGGTGACTGTGAGTTTCGACTGGACAAATTTGGAACAAAATTCGTTGAACATTTTGGTGCTGATGGAACTAGCAGCATGAGTGCCATATGCAACAAATTAGCAGCTTTGGAGCAGTAGCAAGTGGGGCTTGACTTGGGGAGAACCAACATGAGGGGTGCTGTTTTAGACTCCAGGTCTTGCAGGCTTGTTGTACTGTGATTGTAGCACTATCCAACTATCCATACCTTGGTGGGTCGTCGCCAGGGAAGCAGCTCATTGTTCTGCTGCTATCAACGACATCTGCCATTTCCTGGAGGTGTATAAAACAGATTTGGCAACAGCTGCCTGGGCACGGCACTGCCCTGGCACTTTGGGTCTCTGTGGGGCATTAATCAATGTCACAATGTTTTGTCCTCAAAGTGTTGTTGTCACTATTCCCTGCCAAACATGCCGGAGCACAGGCATCGCCAAAGCAAGATTTGCTGCATCCATTTAATTTGGTTTGTTCTGAGTTTT